GACGATACATGGAGACCCTGTGTGCAAACTGCGCACTGTTGCCATGGTTGCAAAAAGCAGAAGTTTTACATTCATGACAGTTAAGGGAGCTTAAAAAAAAGAAAGATCTATATATATATTTTGCAAATTTTGACATTTAATGTTTTCAGAACCGGAACCAAATCTCGATTCGGATAAAAGACTCCACAGGGGGACGGAAAACATTTGCTTCATTAAAGTATACAGGAACCCAAATTACTAGAATCTCAGAGAAGCTTCAACAGTGAATTTCAGTGTTACTAAATCTGCAGCATTCATTAAAATAATCCCTGGTGATCCTGCCATGAAGGCACTTCCTGTTATAAGGTGACAACGCTCTGTCCCTGTCTCACAAATCTGTTGATGCGTTGTCATCCTTTCACATGGTCTCTGTACCTTGAAATCGTACTCCTGCCATGGAGGCACTTCCTGTTATAGGGTGACAAAGCTCTGTCACCGTCTCCCAACCGGGCTTCTGCGTCGTCATCCTTTCACGTGGGCTTTGTCCCTCAGATGTGCTTTAACTACGAATCCCAGCATGCCTCTGCCTGTAAATGTCAGTCTTGCAATACCTCATGGGACTTGTAGTCCCACTAAAGCTGGAGGGCCATAGCTGCCCGCCCCGCTCTGTATTGTGCCCCGCTCTGTATTGTGCTCCTGCCATAAAGGTTCTTTTCTTTTATAGAGTGACAACGCTCTGTTCCTGTCTCCAAATTGTGCTTCTGCGTTGTCACCCTGTCACTGGGGCTTCTGTTTGATACTACAAGTGGCCATTTTAACACACATTGTGCAGACACGGTCCGCTGTTGTCCCGATCAGGAAACTTGTCCTGGGAAATGCCGTGCATGTAGACAGGAAGTGGCTGCAGGAGATCGGCAGCACTGAGATGAAACAAGAAGATGAAAACAATAAAATGCGTTAAAAAGCAACTAAAGGCAAAACTTTTATTTGTAGCTTTAGATAGTGGGGAGGGATTAGTCCCCCTGTCAGGCTGTTATTGCCGTCTGTGTCCCCATTAGTTAGATTCGCCCTCTCTGTGTGTCTTGATGATCGTTATCACTGAAAGGGAAAGAAAATGCCAAATTTTTGGGTTGTCACCAAAACAGGAATAGATGGGGAAATCCTTCTAGTGACCACCAGGGATTTCCTCTCACTTCCTGTTGTGGTTTATCGGACAGGAAGTGAGACAGGGGCGTCCCGAGGCTGGGTGTCACCTGGAGCAGTTACTGGGTGACACCCCACCGTGACGTCACCACGCACATGCGCGTCATGTCATCGCGCATGCACGGCGATTGAAATGATACCTGACGGCAGCCATCTTGGTGATGGACGCCGGCAGAGAGAGGAAGGGACGTTCACCGGGCGGGATGAGGTATGCCGCCGGGTCCCCTCCTCTCACCTGACACTGTCGGGCTCTCGGTCCGTGACCAAGTGCCCGACTTTTTAGAGGGGGGGGTGACACCAAAATTACTGTCGGTCATTTTGGTGTCACTCCTCCAATGGTGTCACCCGGGTGCGGGCCGCACTGCCCTTGTGACGCCACTGAGTGAAGGGAATTCTCCCCAATGGGGCGCAGATGGCGAAAAAACCTGACGGGTTATAAAAATGTTTGGCTTCCAGTTGGGGGTTCCGTCTACTTTGATGGTTTCTGTTTTTCGAGAGGCCGGAATATGAACTTTTGTTTTGTTTTTATTAACTAGTTTCAAATATTTGTTTATTATTTTTGTCTTTAGAACATAAAAATAATATAGATGTTGTTGTTGTTGTTGTTGACGTTCGTCGGTATAAATAAGGACACCCGGCTGTGAAGTTGTAAACGTCAATAACAGGATAAGAAAACAGGAAATACGGCGTGAGAGCCGAGTGGTGTCAGCTGATATCTCCCGGGAACAGGCGGAGCACAACGCCGAACGCCATATCTATAACATAGTAAATCTGACATTCACCGAACATTCACATATTTTAAATGTCAGAGTTTGAGTCACCGTGGATATTTGGGGCAGTCGCATGCTTTATAAATTGCGCCCCCCCCTAAAAACATCACTGTGTGAAAAAATGTGACAACATATTTTTTTCTTAAAGGAGAACTATGAGGGGGGGGGGGGGGGGGTTGTCCCACCCCCCTAG